GTGCTTCGCCGAGCAAATTCGAGCGAGTTCTTATCTTCGTCGAACGCGGTTTCAAAGTGCTTTGACCGGCGGCGTCGCGACGCTCTTGGACCCCTCTCGATATACATCTCTACAACTGTACATATAGTTACGTATACAATGCCATTTCAATGCATTATGTTTTGCGAACGATTCTGGGAAACGTTCGAAGCCATTGTATATGATTCTTGTTCTCCTGAGCAATAATCTTTATGACCAGGTTTGGCATTTACTGAGGGGTGTATTTTATGGACAGGGCTGTACCTTATGGGTGTATTTTAAGTTCTTGCTTGGAAGGATGGTTGTGATTTGAAGTTAGTATCGCAGTAAAATTATGAGGAAGGGATAAAGAGGGAGAGAGAGAAAGAGAGAGAGAGAGAGTAAATTATCTTTATGAGTTTGTTACGTATAGCAGAAATATAAAGTACTAGAGATATTTTAATTATAAGATAACATTAATGTTACAGGTTATTGAATTCATTTTGACGTCAGTTTTAATTGACTATTCTTATAATTTAAAAAATTAAACGTTCAAAAGATTGTCAAAATTACTAGCGAGAATCTTCTACCATTCTCTATCAAGAATAGTTTCAAATCCTCTAACATTAGTGTTACAATTGAAAGGAAAGGTCATAGTTGATAGCTGGTTGAAACGAGAATAGAAGAAGGTAAACGAGAGAAACGTTTTACCAGCGAATACCATGCTTTTCCAACATAGTTCAAAGCATACGTTTGAAACCACTGTAATTATTTATGCTCATCATAGGCATTGTAGACGCGATTCGCGAATGAAAGGTATAAGTCCGTCGGGCATTTCAATTTGAATCGAACGCGCGAACATTCATATCCGCCTCCCTGTTGAATGAAATGAACCACGGAAAATTTATATTCTCTCGCTCTACTTGCCCCTTGAAATACCGCTGCAAACACTGACCCACATCACTGCGTGCTGCTGGCACGAAAAACGACGAGATTTCGTCGTCCGCCATCTCGTCTATTATTCCTACTTTTATTGAGGCTCGTCTTTTGTTCTATTTGTATCCTTTTTCGATTGGATCTCGCGTCTCTCGTCATGCAAAAAGGGAATCTCCTAACGTTTTTCTTCGACCATTTCAACGATGGTTACTGCGAAGCGATTGAGTAATGAACGTCGATGGGAAATTGATTTCTTTGTTACGTCTTTAGTGCTAAAAAGTATATAAGTATAGTATATATTTTATAGCATATAACGTCTGTAAATATTTACGTAACTAATTAATTTTCGTCATAGTAGTATAAAATTAAAAGCAGAAAGCTTTTTGTTAATTTCTTTTCTAATTTGATTAAAAGCAACCTGAATTTATTAGCGTTGCAATAATCAGCGGGTTATAATTATTCTTCCACGAAATTTTGCCAATTTTTCACTGTGCATGTCAAGGGATTGCGAGGAAAAAATGGCGGCTAATGCGGTTAGATTATGAAAAAGTAATTGCCCGAGCTGCCATAATTAGCCAGCTGTTATTCATGTTTCAACGAAATATATGGAAATTGTCCTGTAATTGCGGTTCGTGGTAACAATCGAGCAATCACGAAATAAAAATTTTTTACCCACATTCTCTGACATACTGTCCTAATTTATACTTTAATCTTCCTATTTTTTTCTTCCCATTTTTTAATCTTCCCGTTTCCATTAAGTGAAAAAACTTACGGTATTTTTATACAATTATTATATCCAACATAATACTTAAATACAATATGTATATATCTTCAAATATAATAATCTATATCGGCCCTTGTTATTCATTCAAAGATATACCAGAAATTCTTTTGCCCTTAAGCATTAACAATTCGTCTACCTGGTGATGCCTTGTTCATAAAGGTCAGGGTTTCTTTTGGTCAGTGTTCGGTAATGTCTTAAAAGGTTCCATAAATATGGAACTATGTAATCGCTAATCTGCTTGAAAACGGTGAAGACGAGGTTCGCAATAATTCTATATTATTAGAACGAATATATAAACCACGCGTATTAGCCTCTTGTCCTATCAATAAAAATATTCTCAATTTTGAAATCACCGAACGCGCTTTGTCCAATTCTACAGACATATTTGTCTCTTTTCTTGACGATTAAAATTTTCTCAAATAATAAGTAATTTTTCAATTATCAACACACTCTATCCAATTATCCAGCATTTTGAACCGAGGAAAATAGTCCTATCGTTCTTCTTTCGATTCCAAAGACGGTCATTTCCACAGCACCCAGTCGACGGTCTCAACGTCTTAAACAGCACCCTTCCCTCGTTTCCCCGAGATACGTCATAGCATTTTCTCGACGCGACGAAAGTAGAATCCATCGGGTACGAACGAGATCAGCGAACCGCGTGATTCGGTTACGAAGCGAACGACCGCCTGCGTTTCTTCGAATTAGATCGTCGATCGAATTATCAACGAGCGGAGTTGCCCGATATGACAGTGTGGAACGATCCCGGTGAGACCGACAGCATTGATTCCAACTGTTCGCGGCAAGCAGAGCGCGAACGAAACGTTTTGATTTACGTGCAAATTCCACCCTTGTGCCTGTTTCCTCCTCGATAAAAAAGCCACGTTCAATGACTCGTGAATTGCCGTACGGCCAAACAATTCGCGACTCTTTCTCCCGATGAGGGAACGGACGATGATGCTTCACGATCAGAAAATGCGAATGGATTGATATTAATTCTATCGACGGACGTTTTTCCAATGGCATTGGAAAATGCCACGGTTTAACGTCTTCATTAGTTTTCCTGATATTGATAGACGTTTAGCGAGTGGAATGAAGAATTTTCTGAGAACTCTTGTTAGCAGATTTGTGTTATATCAGACTGTCCCTCAAGTTTTCCCCTTGCTTTATCAAATATTTGGCATTAAATTAATTCTTAAATACCGTGGCGAAATAGAAGTAGGTATATTAATTTTCTGATGGGGTTCTGAGCTATTTTAATGGAAAATTTAAATCTCAACCTACAGATTATAATTAAAAGGCTCATCTTTATTAAGAATTAATAAAACGAATTGCATCGTAGATTATTTTAGAGCAAAATGATAAGTTTATAAAGTGTCTGAGGTATTTTCGAATATTATACTTTGGATGTTTTATACGTTTTATACGTATTCTGTACATTTTTCTATCTTCAAATCTTCTATAAATGAATCTCTCTTCCCAAATAACTGATGTTTTATACTAAAATTGTGATGAAATAATATTCTATACTGAGTTCATAAAATTTTCTTTCTGCACTAATGTGTATTTTACATTTCATCTTCGAAACTGAAAATAAATCTCTTCTTGCAATTGCCACGTTTAATACCAAACTAATAATACAATTTTTTCTAGCTAATTAAGAAAATATCTGCACACAATATTTGATGTGTAAAAAATCATAGTTAATTTAGATTTTACAAATTCACCGCGTTACTCAAAAGACCAAATTAACGCGACAAGAAAGACACGGAATATTTTAATACAATTTGTTCAGGACGAGAAGACCAAAGCACGTATCGGAGCTAAACGAAACAAAATCAAGAAGATCGTGCTAAGACTGTCGAGACACGATGCTGGGTTTCATTGTTTCGAATTAAGAGAACTGCAACGAAAGCGTAAAAATATCAACAGCGAAATGCTTTCTCGAGTTTCTCTGCTCGTACTGTCTTGAAATTGGCAACGATACACGATGGTGAAATTAAAAACGCGCGTGTTTTATAGTTTCTCGTTATATGTGCTAGAATTTTTAAAGAAATTGAAAGCTTTTACCGTCCGTATAAATGAAATTAATTCGCAGCGATGCGTCAGCTTCCCGTGAAAGACAGCGCAAAGTTAATGTCGATGGAAGTTAAAATTTTTTCAAATAAAATCTAATTATACACGATAGAAATTTTAGATATTTATTTACTATAATGTCTTACGATAATGTCTTACGATAGATTAATATTTTATAATAGATATTTACTTTCTGTTTGGAATAATTTGGAAATAAATGTTTGCTAAAAATATACGTATAATTTCCTGGCCGCGTGTTAAATTCAATAACCGTCGATGAATATTATCGTTGGTTTCAACTTGATTTTTTGGAAAATTTTATTTAACAG